TACACAAAGACGCTTTTACACGCAGACACTTTTACACACAGAGCAGCTTCTACACACGCGAGCTTTTACACAGAGAAGCCTTTTACACACAGCCTCTTTACACACAGGCACTTTTACACACAGAAGGTTTTACACAGGAAAGCCTTTGTACAGAGCAGCTTTTACACAGGGTAGTTTTTGCACAGAGGACTTTTACACACAGACGCTTTTACACACAGAGCAGCTTTTACACACAGAAGCTTTTACACAGAAAGCCTTTACGCTGTACACAGAGACGCTTTTACACACAGGCGCTTTTACACACAGAGGCTTTTACACAGAGAAGCCTTTGCACAGAGCAGCTTTTACACACAGTAGTACTTACACAGAGAAGCCTTTACGCACAGAAGCTTTTACACAGGGCAGCTTTTGCACAGAGGACTTTTACACACAGATGCTTTTACACAGAGCAGCTTTCTCCCACAGAAGCTTTTACACATGGAAGCCCTTACACAGAGCACCTGTCACACAAAGGCGCTTTCCACACAGACGTTTTTACACAGATCAGCTTTGACCCACAGAGGCTTTTACACAAAGACGCTTTTACACACAGACACTTTTACACACAGAGCAGCTTCTACACACGCGAGCTTTTACACAGAGAAGCTTTTACACACAGCCTCTTTACACACAGGCACTTTTACACACAGAAGCTTTTACACAGGAAAGCCTTTGTACAGAGCAGCTTTTACACAGGGCAGCTTTTGCACAGAGGACTTTTACACACAGACGCTTTTACACACAGAGCAGCTTTTACACACAGAAGCTTTTACACAGAAAGCCTTTACGCTGTACACAGAGACGCTTTTACACACAGGCGCTTTTACACACAGAGGCTTTTACACAGAGAAGCCTTTGCACAGAGCAGCTTTTACACACAGTAGTACTTACACAGAGAAGCCTTTGCACACAGAAGCTTTTACACAGGGCAGCTTTTGCACAGGGGGCTTTTACACACAGACGCTTATACACAGAGCAGCTTTTACACACAGAAGCTTTTACACAGAGAAGCCTTTACACTGTACACAGAGACGCTTTTACACACAGGCGCTTTTACACACAGAGGCTTTTACACAGAGAAGCCTTTGCACAGAGCAGCTTTTACACACAGTAGTATTTACACAGAGAAGCCTTTACACACAGAGGCTTTTACACAGGGCAGCTTTTGCACAGAGGCCTTTTGCACACAGAAGCTTTTACGCAGAGAAGCCTTTACACAGAGCAGCTTTTACACAAACAAGCTTTTACGCAGAGAAGCCCTTACACAGGCCACCTTTCACACAAAGGCGCTTTACACACAGATGCTCTTAGACACAGAGCAGCTTTTACACAGAAGCTTTAAACACAGAAGGCTTTACACACAGACTCGTTTTCTTACACACAGATGCTTTTACACGGGGCAACTTATGGAAAGAGGCCTTTTACACACAGAAGCTTTTACGCAGGGGAGCCCTTACACAGAGCACCTTTCACACAAAGTCGCTTTCCACACAGACGCTTTTACACAGAGCAGCTTTTACACACTGACGCTTTTGCAGAGTGCAGCTTTTACGCACAGAAGCTTTTACACACAGACGCTTTTACACACAGAGCAGGATCTACACGCAAAACAACACTTTTACACAGAAGCACCTTTGCACACAGGCACGTTTACACACAGAAGCTTTTGCACAGGGAAGCCTTTGCACAGAGCAGCTTTTACACACAGAAGTACTTACACAGAGAGGCCTTTGCGCTTTTACGCACAGAGCAGCTTCTGCACAAAGAAGTACTTACACAGAGAAGCCTTTGCACAGACAGACGCTTCTACACACAGAGCAGCTTTTACACAGAGAAGCCTTTACACACATGCACTTTTACACACAGACACTTTTACACACAGGAGCTTTTACACAGGAAAGCCTTTCCACAGAAAAAGCTTTTACACACAAAAGTATTTACACACAGAGAACTCTTTGCACACCGGCGCTTTTACACAGGGCAGCTTTTACACAGAAGCCTCTTACACCCAAACGCTTTTACGCGCAGGGCAGCTTTTACACACAGACGCCTTCACATGCAGATTTTGCTTTTACACAGAGAAGCCTTTACACACAGACGCCTCTACACACAGAGCAGCTTTTACACAGAGAAGCCTTTATACAGAGGCACTTTTACACATGGACACTTTTACATACAGAAGCTTTTACACAGGAAAGCCTTTGCACAGAAAAGCTTTTACACACAGAAGTTTTTACACAGAGAAGTCTTTGCACGCAGGAGCTTTTACACAGGGCAGCTTTTACACAGAAGGCTTTAACACGCAGGGCAGCTTTTACACACAGATGCTTTTACACAGAGAGCAGCTTTTACACACAGAAGCTGTTACACAGAGGAGCTTTTACACACAGAGCAGCTTTCACAAACTATCGTTTACACAGGGAAGCCTTTGCACAGAGCAGCTTTTACACACAGAAGTATTTACACAGAGAAGCCTTTACACACAGAAGCTTTCACACGGGGCAGCTTTTGCACAGAGACCTTTTACACACAGAAGCTTATACACAGAGCACAGAAGTATTTGCACAGAGAAGCCTTTACACACAGAAGCTTTTACACAGGGAAGCTTTTGTACAGAGGCCTTTGACACACAGCAGCTTTTACGCAGAGAAGCCTTTACAGCCGTTTCCCACAGAAGCTTTTACGCAGGGAAGCCCTTACACAGAGCACCCTTCACGAAAAGGTGCTTTCCACACAGAAGCTTTTACACAGATTGGCTCTGACCCGCAGAGGCTTTTACACACAGGTGCTTTTACACACAGACGCTTTTATACACAGAGCAGGTTTTACACACAGAAGCTTTTACACAGAAAAATCTTTACACAGAGACGCTTTTACACACAGGCAGTTTTACACACAGAGGTTGGAAGGCTTTGCACAGAGCAGCTTTTACACACAAAAGACTTCACACAGAGAAGCCTTTACACACAGAAGCTTTTATGCAGAGAATCCGCTGCGCAGAGCAGCTTTTACACAAAGAAGCTTTTACAGAGGGAATCCCTTACACAGAAAACCTTTCGCGCAAAGGTCCTTTTCACACAGACGCTTCTACACAGAGCAGCTTTTACACACTGACGCTTTTGCAGAGCGCAGCTTTTGCACACAGAAGCTTTTACACACAGACGCTTTTACACACAGATGCTTTTGCACACAGACGCATTTACACATAGAGCAGCTTTTACACAAAGACGCTTTTACACACAGGGCAGCTTCTCACACAGGCCAGCTTCTCACACAGGCACTTTTACACAGAGAAGGCTTTAGACACAGACGCTTCTACACGCAGTCACCTTTAAACACAGATGCTTTTACACAGGGCAGCCTTTGCACAGACGCTTTTACACACAGATTCAGATGCCTTTGCACACAGACGCATTTACACATAGAGCAGCTTTTACACACAGGGCAGCTTCTCACACAGGCACTTTTACACAGAGAAGGCTTTAGACACAGACGCTTCTACACGCAGTCACCTTTAAACACAGATGCTTTTACACAGGAAAGCCTTTGCACAGAGCAGCTTTTACAGACAGAGGTATTTCCACAGAGAAGCCTTTACACACAGAAGCTTTTACACAGGGCAACTTTTGCACAGAGGCCTTTTGCACACAGAAGCTTTTACACAGAGAAGCCTTTACACAGAGCAGCTTTTTCCAGCAGAAGCTTTTATGCTTGGAAGCCTTTACACAGAGCATCTTTCACACAAAGGCGCTTCCCACACGGACGCTTTTACACAGGACAGCTTTGACCCACAGACGCTTTTACACACAGACGCTTTTGCACACAGACGCATTTACAAACAGAGCAGCTTTTAGACACAGACACTTTTACAAACAGAGCAGCTTTTCACACAGAAACTTTGAAACCGAGAAGGCTTTACACACAGGCGATTTTACACACAGACGCTTTTACACACAGAATCTCTTTACACAGGGAAGCCTTTATACAGAGCAGCTTTTACACACAAAAGTATTTACACAGAGAAGCCTTTACACACAGAAGCTCTTACACAGGGCAACTTTTGCACAGACACTTTTACAAACAGAAGCTTTTACGCAGCGAAGCCTTTACACAGAGCAGCTTTTACACACAGAAGCTTTTACGCAGGGAAGCCTTTACACAGAGCATCTTTCACACAAAGGCGATTCCCGCACAGACGCTTTTACACAGGACAGCTTTGACCCACAGAGGCTTTTACACACAGACGCTTTTACACACAGAGCAGCCTCTACACATAGGAGCTTTTGCACAGAGAAGCCTTTACACGCAGTCACTCTTACACACAGGCACTTTTACACACAGAAGCTTTTACACACAGACGCTTTTGCACAGAGCAGCTTTTACACAGAGCAGCTTTTACACGCAGACCCTTTTACACACAGACGCTTTTACGCACAGAATGGGTTCTACACACAAAACAAAAACTTTTACACAGCAAAACCTGTACACACAGACGCCCTTACACACAGACGCTTTTACACACAGGCGCTTTTACACAAAGAAGCTTTTACGCAGGGAAGCCTTTGCACAGAGCAGCCTTTACACAGGGCAGCTTTTGCACAGATGACTTTTACACACAGAGCAGCTTCTGCACAAAGAAGTATTTACACAGAGAAGCCTTTACACAGACAGACGCTTCTACACACAGGGCAGCTTTTACACAGAGAAGCCTTTACACACAGGCACTTTTACACACAGACACTTTTACACACAGAAGCTTTTACACAGGAAAGCCTTTCCATAGAAAATCTTTTACACACAAAAGTATTTACACAGAGAACTCTTACACACAGAAGCTTGTACACAGAGAAATTTTTGCACAGAGGCCTTCTACACACAGGCTCTTTTACACACAGAAGCTTTTACACAGAGACGCCTTTACACACAGACGCTTTTACACACAAACTTACACACAGAGCCACGCAAAGCAGCAGCGGCGTCAAGTCCGTGCCGCACCAAGTGCCGCGCCTGCCACGCAGAGCAGCCGAGGCGTCAAAGCGTCCAAAGGCGTCCGCATTCTCTACAGAGAGTCAGCAAGCGCCGCACCTGCCAGGCAAAGCAGCCGCGGCGTCAAAGCGTCCAAACGTGTCCGTGCATTCTACAGGGAGGCGCCAAGTGCCGCACCAAGTGCCGCCTGCCACGCAAAGCAGCCGCGGCGTCAAAGCGTCCAAACACGTCCGGGGCTCTACAAAGAGGCGCCAAGGGCCGCGCCTGCCACGCAAAGCAGCCGGGGCGTCAAAGCATCCAAACACGCCCGGGGACTCTACAGAGGCACCAAGTGCCGCACCAAGTGCCGCACCAAGTGCCGCCTGCCACGCCAAGCAGCTGCGGCGTCACAGCGTCCAAACACGTCCGGGGGCTCTACAGAGAGGCGCCAAGGGCTGCGCCTGCCACGCAAAGCACCGGCTCGTCAAAGCGTCCAAACACGCCCGGGGACTCTACAGAGAGGCACCAAGTGCCGCACCAAGTGCCACACCAAGTGCCGCCTGCCACGCAAAGCAGCCGCGGCGTCAAAGCGTCCAAACACGTCCGGGGCCTTGCAGAAAAGAGGCACCAAGCGCCGCGCCTGCCATGCAAAGCAGCCGCGGGCGTCAAAGCGCCCAAAGGCGTCCACAGACTGTGCAGAGAGTCACCAAGTGCTGCACCTGCCACCTAAGTTTCGCTGTGGCGAAGCCAACGTTTTGGAGCCTTGACGGCTGCAATTTGGAGCTGGTTTCTTGTCGGTTCAGAAAGCGACATTAGGCACAGGCGGCCGAAGGCCTGGTCCAGGCGCTCCGTGCCATGGTGTTCGCCGCGGTGTCGAAGCGCCCAAACACGTCCGGGGACTTTACAGTGAGGCACCAAGTGCCACGCCTGCCACGCAAAGTAGCCGCGGCGTCAGGGCGTCCAAACCTCCGGGACTCTACAGAGAGGGCAAAGCAGCCGCGGCGTCAAAGCGTCCAAACACGTCCTGGGACTCCACAGAGAGGCACCAAGCGCCGCACCAAGCGCCGCACCAAGCGCCGCGCCTCAAACGCGTCCGGGGGCCCTGCAGAGAGGCACCAAGAGCCGCCTGCCAAAGAAAGCAGTCGCGGCGTCACGCCCGGGGGCTCTACAGAGAGGCGCCAAGCGCCCCGCCTGCCACGCAAAGCGATAGAGTCTCCAAGTGCCACACCTGCCATGCCAAACCAGCGACAAAGACAGAAAACTTGATATAGACAAGGTGATATAGACAAGTTGGTGGAGCCAAGGTGATAGAGACAAGCTGACAGAGACAAGGCGATCGAGACAAGTTGATAGAGACAAGCTGACAGAGACAAGGCGATCGAGACAAGTTGACAAAGACAAGTTGATGGAGACAAGTTGACAAAGACAAGTTGATGGAGACAAGTGGATAGAGACAAGTGGGTAGAGACAAGTTGAAACAGCGGGAGGCAGCGGGAGACAGGCGGGAGGGGGGCGGGCGGGCGGATGGCGAACAAAAAGTTAGAACCCCACATAGTGATGTGGGGAAAAACCACCTGTTGCTCAAATGCCCAGCACCAAGGGAGTTCTTACCGCTTTCGGTCATGCTGCTAGTGAAAGAGGCACCTTATTTTCCTCTGTCAGCGTTTCCTTCCTGATCCGTGCCCACAGGTTCGAGCAATCAAAATTGACCCGCTCAGACCCTACACCAGCGCGCGCCTTATTCTTGAAAAGTTCGACCATCTTGGCTTCCATAAAGTTCTGAATCGCAATGCCCCGCATACGCTTGTCACGCAAACTCACCGGAGGTGTGTCGGGGGCTTCATAGGACCAAACGTTGAGTGATGCCGTCTGCTCAAACGGTTGCTCGAATTGATGCCACCAGTGGTTCGGAAGGAACCTCGCATCGCACAATCTAGGCTAGTTGGATCTATGATGTTGGAGGTGCTGCAGTAGCAAAAACGTACCTGTATAGAATGCATGGTTTTACAACCGCTTGGAAAAGGCCTTGGGGCAACTGGGTAGCCTTGGGACAAGAATGAAAAATCTCAACCGCCCGCCACAACTCTATACCTATGCTCCAATTTTGAAGAACATACATAATAACCAACAAGACAAGTCCCTACTACTGACTGGTACCCAAAGCACTAAAACGTGAAAAAAAAGCCTTGTATGCCTAGCAGAACACAATCTCGCGCCGTTCCGTCTGCATCCTTTCTAGAACACCAGCATCACCTGTGTCTGGGAGTTAAAACTCAAACTTGTGGAAGACATTGCAAACATCGCGCCAGCTCTTGCAATTGACCGCATGGCATGGCCTTCCATGGGTTTGAGAACGGAACACCATCCCTAGTACACTATATCCACCCCTTTCTGGAAAGCTTTTGAAACTACTCAAACTGATTTTTCCTAGAGTGAGCTGATGGAAGCGGCTGGAAGTTTTTGGAGACGGAGGCCAGACCATGCAAGCGCATAGAAAGCAAAATGCATGCAAAACCTCAAATTCGAGCCAACTCTTCGCCGGCAAGCCTGGCAATTCCTGCATGCAACTTGACCTACACGGATGCGCACAATTTTGGAGAGCATGACGAAATAGGGGCACCAAATTTCCACGTAAAATAGTTTTTTTGATCGTTGATGTTTTTTTTGTGTTAATCGTCTTATGTTTTTATGTTCCTTGTGTGTTTCATTTTATTTGCTTTGTTTCTGCTACGGTACTCTATTTGCTGCTATCTAGTTCTTATTGCAGTTTATTTTATGAATTGCAAACAGAACAGGATAGTAGAGGTGGATTCTGAACCCAATAATCCTCCATGCAGATTTTGATTCTGTAAAGTGCATATATAACAGTATAGTAGGGCTAGAGTTATGATCCAAGTCCTCCATATAGCGTTTGATTATGTAAAGTGCATATATATATATATCACCCACCACTGCAGCATGAAGCCACTTTTTGGCAGACCACCAATTGCTAAAGTGGCGTGGCTAAGGAGCCATAGCTGTGACACTTTGCTAGCTAAGCCCTCTCACACCAACATCCAACCTCAAGCGGTGGTGATTGACAAGCGGTTGCCTCAAGAGGCAAGTGTGATAGCTTAAGAGCCATCCACTTTCCAACCTGAGCCAGGGTGAGGGTCCCATCATCAATATAGGACCGTGCGGTCTTAGACGTTGCCCACCTTCCTCTGGCGAGCGTAGCGTCCAATGACGACGTCTCTAAAAAGTACCACGTTGCTCCGCCTCGACGTGCGCCATAAGTCATAAGGCGTGTAATCATCCGGCCTAAAGTTGAAGCATTCGAGCAAACGGGCCCAAGTTGTTCGACTGCCAGCCCACAAAGGGGCGGTGAGAGTTCGGCGCCGCTTCAAATAGCAGGCGAGGCGCCAAATATGGTCATCCTTGACCAATCAGTATCTCGGCATTGCCATTTGATGTCTTTGAAAAAGGTTTTACCACTGCGAGCTCCGCCTTTGTGTGGTGCGGGAGTAGGTGACAAAATTGCAGGGCCAACATCTCAGACGTACGAAGAAAGCAGTTGAGCCCAACATAAAGCAAAAGGGCTGTTTCCACACTCCCTTGATCCCAGCACATGGCTGCCATTGCTTGCAAAAGTTCCCAACTGATGGGAACGGCCCGCAGGGGCCTGTGAGACCTCTGCCAGTTGCAAAAATACTGGCTTGCTGTAGGGAGCTGAATGCGAAGCTCCGGGATGAAACGTTTAATTCCTGAGAGGGTGTGCCCAGCCGCAGACACTGGCTCTCCTTCTTGATACATGCAATTGAAATATTCCGCAAGGGTGTAATCCAAATCAGTGGCATCGATGACGTCATACTCTGATCTGTGGGCAAAGGCCAAAAACCTCTCGAGGGCTAACTTGTAAGCTGAAAGACTCCGACGCTGCAACCCGGCAAACCGGAGATGGGTGTGTGGCGTCATTTGAACACACGACTGGGCGTGTCAGCCCAGTTCCATCTTGATATGGTCCACGCTAAAAGCGGGTAGCAATCGGAGATCAGCAGCGCCGCCGCTCGGCGCAACCCTCTGTTGATTGGCCTAGATGAACTTCGACCTTTCCCAGGGCTCCACGGACCACCTGACTATCTAGAATTGCCAGGTACCGAGTCCCGTGTTTGGTTGCATCTGAGGCCCTCCTCTCGGCCATGGCGAGGAAGGCATTGAGTTCACCCTCATTGATGTGTAAGTTGTCATCTTGCCACTGGAAACTGAAGCACCTTGCGGAACAACCACCGATAAGCGGGGTAAGGCGTTTCTCCCTCCTCATTGCTTCGAAAGAGGAGCTTGATCTCGGTGCCTCGTATGGTCAGGCGCCGTAGCATCTCTTGAGATGCGCTTTCTCATCTCCAGCCGTCATGGTTCTTTCTAGACGGACCACGTCACCAGCCATGAGACGGGCGGTGGTTTCTTCTTTTAGCCGATCAGTGCTTTCCTGCAGCTCTTGCATGACCCAGCTCTTCCATGCTTTTCCTGCCATCATATTCGGCCTCGAGGTGACGCCCTCTGACCTCAACCTCACGCCGCAGTCCAGCCGCATAAGCACGGCACCACCCGAAGGGGTATTCCGCTTCTTCTTCTGTGTCGAAGTGCAGCTGCCCATCAGCGCTTCTTCGCACCCCGTATCCCAGCAGGCCAGCGTGTCCTCCACACTCGGGGTGGTCCAGGTGTGCATGAATCTCAGGGCTGTTGCCCAGCGACCCGAACCATTTTTCTTGCCGTCCTCCAAAACAGCACATGCTCCCTAAAACCGTAGTTGAAGTCCTGCTCAAGCTCGGGGACCTGGTTCCAATACCGCAGCCATGAATTGTAGAGATGCTCAAGGGTTGCAATCCTCTCCTCCTGTTCTGCCTCCCTAAGGTGGCTCAGGCTGCGGTTGGCCATGGTGTTGGAGTGCCTCAACCTCTGTCTCATTTCCCGGCCCAGCCAGGGGAAACCCATCAGGTTGCGTCCGTCGCGGACAGCCTGATGGCCTTGGATGACCTCGCCATCCGACAAGGTGATGGGTCGGCCCCGAGCTCTTGAAAAGAGCTTGCAGCACGGGGCCCAATGTTCTGCGAACAGGTCCGGGTCGCGCTCTAACTCCTCCAGCCTTGCCCGGCCGTCGTCGGAAAAGTTGTGCCCCAGCGACAGGTCATACGGTGGTTGCACTTCGATTAAGCCCCGCCTGACCAACTGCCTCACTCAGCGGGTAGTGTGGCCCTGCAAATCTTTCACCAAACTTTGCCACATGCAGGATAACCACGCCTCTTGCAGTCCATCCCTCTGTGATGATCCCACACGCAATCCAACGAGCATAAAGTTGCCTTGCACTCGGATGGGCATGGGTATACCGATTCTCGGACAGCGCACCTTGGCAGTAGAAGCATGTAGCTCCGTCGTGTTCTTCAGTGTCCGGAGCCTGTTTGAACGAAGTGGCTATGCCTCCTCCGGCGCCGAGGGGTGACGCGTCGGTGATGGTCACCTCCTGGTCGAGGGTTGCCCTCAGGTTCATTCGCAGCAGGGGGGTCAGCGCCACCACCATGAAAATCTCGTCCCTTGCCGCGGCACTCAAGTACCCAGGCGAACCAGTTCTGCTCAATGCCTCGATGTCATAGAAGACGGCTTCGAAGATGCTCATCGCCGGCCTCCTAAAGGCGAGATTGAACAGAGCTTTCCCAGTGAAGTGCCGCAGCTCAAATTCTGTGACTTGCTCCTGGCTCAGGAGCATCAAGCCATACCCTATCAAGCTGGCCTGTTTCTCGGGAGCCGAGTGGAAGACACCTTTCCTTCCATCCAGCGTTCCTCCCTGGAGGCTCCCCTTGATTGCTCCAACCAGGCGCTTGCCGATGTTCAGGGAGAGCCCAAACTTTTTGCACGTTGCTGCAAACTGCTTGTGCCTTTCAGATTCCTCTCCTTCCAGAAGGTCACTGTACGAGGATTCAATCTTCCTTATCTCATCGCACGAATCCAAGTACACCAGCGAAGCAGAGGGGTCTTCCGGGAACGACTTCATCTTTGAAATCTCGCTGGAGCAAGGGATTTCACTCTCCACAAAGACAAGCTGTCTCACCACCGTTTGCATGAGACTGACGCTGTTGATCCATCCCATTCGCACTACATTCATCGCTACCCAGGACTTCTGGTCCGGTGAACCTCCAAAAACCGAAGAGGGTACCTGCTTGGCAAACGTCATGAGGCCTCCCCACTCCTCAGGGAGGGTAAAAAGGTTGAAACAGGAGGTTAGATCTTCACTGTCCACCAACACCTCCTGCTCCGGCTCAACTTCCACCATAGCCAGCTGGCCCAAGTAAGGGAGGTGCTTGTCGTCCCCTGCCATGTGGTCCTGATAGGTGTTCGAGGGGACCAACACGCTGATGAAGCGCTGCAGCCGTGTTTTGGCACCGCCCCTGCCCCATTCAGGACCAAGTTGCCTTCGTGGTCACGCAGGATGTCTTCTTCTTGCACCTCCCTCATCATGTTCCTGGCCGCTGCTGCACTGACCAACTTTTCCCACTCCTCGTCACTGGCCCGCACCCTGCTCTTGGGTGGCTTTGCTGGCCAGTAGCATCTCGGGAGGAGGGTGCTTCTTGGCTTCTGTAGCCACTCCTTCACTTCTTCACTCACAAACCGCTCAGCAGGTTGAATGCCAGCCTCTCCTATTTTTGGCCAACAAGCAATCACTTTGTCAGCTTCAAGATCCTCCATGATGGCCACCATTTCACCGGCATAGTCAAACCTGATCCTTCAGGTCATCTCGTAAACGTTTGGTGACCGGTACTCTCTGCTCTTCCTCCAGGAAGTCCTTCCAGTGCAGTACGCTGCGGATCATTCAGAATTTCATTCCCCAGGACCTTCTTCCCTCCAAGGTACACGTAGTTCAGCACCTCGACAAGCAGGCCACCCAGCCCAACCTCGTCCGGCAAACTCTTTCGGTGGCCCTGTGTGGTCTGCCTTCCAACCCTCTCTCTGCGGCAGCAGCATCAGCCACGGCAGCTCCTAGTGCGCCGGGTAGCTTGTCCAGGAACTGGTATGCCAACCTCATCAGGTGGCCAGGGCGCTGCTCTTTCGTCATCAGGTCTTGCAGTCCCCTGGTCCAAAACCCCCCTTGCTGGTGAGGGAAGTGGTCACCTCTCACTCACTTCTCCTCCTTGTCTCGGCCTTTCCTTTCTTTTCCTTTTCCCTTCTCTCCTTTCTGGGCTTCTTTCCCTTTTCCTCCACCTTTTGGGGCGTCCCGCCCCTTGGATCTGTAGGGTCTGTCGTACCCCTTGATCTTCTGGTCTGTGAGGAACTCTTGAGCTAGATAAAGCTCCTCGTCACGCTCCAACAGTGCCGATGACTCTGGAGGAAGAAGCTCCAGAAATTGCGCACTGTTCCAGTGGGCCTCCACCGTCGCCCTCTCTAAAGCCTTCAGGTGCTGGCCCAGCAGATCGGCTCCTCGTCCTACCTGTCCCTGCGCCAGCCAATCTAGGCACTGCGCCAACGTCTTCATCTCTCGGAGCGTCCTCATCCCAATCTTGGACTGGAGAGAGGGCTGAAGAACCATCAAGAGATGGTTCATAGCTACTGGCGGCGTCTTTGGCTTTGACGCCCCCTCGAGACCCCTCGCCGTGGCCTGGGACATTTTCAGCAACATCCGGTTGGCGAGTCTCCCTGGGTACTTTCTGCTGTAACTGAGTAGCTTCAGTTGCGAGCTTTTCGTGGATTTCGAGGGGCTTTTTGAAAATCCGAATCTTCAGAGCTTGAACCATCATCACCTCTGTAGTCCACCGCCGGTCCCTCTCCGAAAGGGCCTCTGTCCCCGGCAGTGGGGCTCTCCGTTCTGCCACGCTTCTTGGCCTGGAAGAGCCCTTCTTTTTCAGCTGAACTGGATTCTCCAGAGTCTTCAGACCCGGTGGATCTTTTTGCGCCTCCTTCTTCGCCGGCTCCTGGACTTATCCTTCCGGCCAGACTGGCGCCTTCTCAAGCGACTAGTTGACTTCGCCCCGCGGCCCTTCTTGCGGTGACTCCTCGATCTGGCAGACCTGCTCTTTTTGGATCGGCAGTCCTTTCCATCCCCTTTGGGAGGTGATTTCTTCTGTTTGGCGTCCTTCTTGCGCCCACGATATTCCTCTGCCTGCTTTTCTGCCTTCTTGAGTTCCTTCCGAAGGTCCTCCTCCAACCGGGCCATCAGTTTCTTGCCCTGTGGTGACTCCTCTCTGGTCTTTCTTTCTCGGGCCTCATCAAATCCATCCGATCCATGCCACTTGGCCTGTACCACAGGTCCATGGGCAGGTGCCGGCCCCTGAGGACCTCCTCGCCTCTCAACCCATCGGTTGAACTTGGCTACATTTCTATCGAAGGCCTCAGCGTGCTCCTTCCTCTTCAGGAAGGGTAGCACCGACTCCTCAAAGCCCTCTGGACTCAACTCTCTAACCGTGGTCAGGTGGATCATCTTCGCTTTCCCCCGGGCCGATGGGCAAGATCCAGGCCTTGCACCGCACAAGTGGTACCATGCCCTGTCAGCTAAGTCCCGACCATCACCTGACTCCATCCACCACAGTTAATGAGGATCGGTACACCCCAGGAAGCATGCCTCCTGAGATGGCGTTCCATTATGATCACTTTCCAAGCTCCTTGACGCCAAGAACCACTGTCCCTTGGCTTTTCCCCTGGGTATCCACGATTCCTCCTTCGATGTAACTCCCAGGCTTCAGGTCCAGAGTGGAGCCTATTCTTTGCCAGTTCCCTGGCATGCGTCCACCTGGGCTTCCCAGGGGTGTATGTCCTCAGGCCCAAGTTAGGGAATCCAACTTGGGCCTACAAATTGCGCTTGAACCAGCAAGCTGCAGTAGGTGATAAATGATCGCACCACAAATGCTGTTCCATGCTTCCACAGCATATGTTAAGCTAAAGTGGTAATATGTATATATATATATATATGTATGTATGTGTGTGGAACATCTGAAGAGATGTAAAACTTCTTTCTTGCACTTGGTTTTTCGCCTGAGGTTCTATTCTTAGTTTGGTTTTCAACCTGAAGTCAACAAAGGTTTCCAATTTGAATTTCAGCAGGGGGCAGTGAATCTCATTCCATCCACTGCACAACGAAGACGGTGGTTTGAGATTGTGATATCGGGACCGATCATCCCGACATACCTGCAATTTTCCAATTTTTCGTCAATGGCAACCGGCTAAGCCAAGAACCGGCATGTCGGTTTTCAGCATTTTTCAACATTTTCAACCCAACATTCAACTTGATGTCAGTACGGTTTCCGCAATCTGTCAGGGAAGTCAATTTGCTTCCAACCAGGGCTATGGAGAAGTTCTGTTTTGACTCTTACTCGAGTCTTCTCTCTAACTCAATCCTGTCAGGTTTAAATAGGGTGTTGTTGCACGTTCGATGCATTCCACATCAAGAATTTGATAAACTATTTCTGAGCAAGTGTGTACTTCATACCGGATTCGTCAAGGTGGTATGAACCCCTCGGGGAAAGCCTTTCCAGGCTAAAGATTGACACGTTGAAACGATCTCTGAATTTACACTTTTGAATTGGTAATTCGTCGAAGTAAAGTGAAACAGATGGCTTTCTTTCAAAGTTTCACAAGTCGGTCGAGTGAGTGTTGAACAACTGGCCGCAGTATGGCGTCATTTTTTCTGAAGATCAGCCCGACTGTCACTGATAGCTTTCTGCTGCGACAACACCTCCTTTTCCAGTGAAGCTCAAGAGACTGCCCGCAGCCATTTTCATATGAACAGGCAACAGGACATGCTTTCCAGGTGTGGTTGCTTCCTTTTGGTTGCTTTGGTGAGGTTCAATTGTGCACGTAATTCAGGGGTTGAACACGCAAGCCGTTTGCAGGGTCGCGAAATGAAAGCCGAGGGCCTTAGAGCCTTATCACGAAACTTGTATGCAATGTGGATGCGTCATGTGAAAGTTGTTGTTAATTTGATTACTTAACCTGACAGTGTCGCCATGTTTCCTGGACGTTTTCCCAACGTCCCTGACACGATGTGGAACTTTGGTTGGAATCCGCAGACGATGGGACTTCAAGGTCAATTTTGTGGAGGTGACATGATGAATCAATCGTCACAAGCTCAGTCTCAAGCTCAGACTCAGGCTCAGATTGCCGCTCTTAGGGAGCAGAATGCGATTCTCAATCAACAGCTCACTTCACAAGCTCAATCTCACATCCAACATCTTCAGCAACTCATTCCCTTCCATCAACCATGCTCAACAGGCGCAAGCCACATCCACTCCACCGCCTCCACAACCATCCGGGCCTCAAGCGCCAGATCCACCAACACCAGTGGTACCTCAAACCACTCAAGCTGGACCCAATCCATCCTTCAATCCTGAAGAGATGATGCAACAGATGAAGCACACAGTTGAATCCAGCATTCAAGCCTTCGTGGACAAAACTCAAGAGCGCAATATCAGCCAACCTCCTGCACCAGCACACCCACCCACTCCAACATATCCACAGAACATCAGCTGCTCTCATCACCTGGGAGACTACTCGAAATCCAGTCGCCGAACCCCACGAAGATCCCGGTCCCATCGCCATCGATCCATGTCAAGGAGACATGACAAACGGCCAGTCTCCATTCCTAGGAGCCCTCGACGTCAAAGATCCACAAGAAGAGTCCGTCGCTCTTCACGACCTCGATCCTCCTCCAAGGAATTTTTCAACCCCAGGCATGCTTCACGTCAGCCAAGCAGAGCCACGTCCATCACCCTACGCTCAGCATCTCCACAACACCGAGAAGGACGACATCGTGCACAAGATCATCAACCACCACGGGAAACCACCAATCCACCAGCTACTCTCCAACCAGCCTCGTGGGACTACTACCCACAACAGTCCTCACACCACACCAACACCGGATCACAGTCCTACCACTACGACCAACCGTCCACCAACCAGTGGCAATCCTGGGGACAATGGAAAGATTATTCCAATTCCTCCAACCCATCACACCCATCCAAATGGATTGACTACTCCAAACCATCAGCTGGCTACAATGATTCTTATGACTCTTCCACAAAGCCACTCACAGCATTCTCCTCCGACCGCACCACATCTCATCGCCAGAAGAAAAGACCACCAAGCACACCGGGGTCGGATCAATCCCAAGCTCCTGCCAACGTCCCTCCAGGACACGTAGCCATCAACCTTCAAGAAGGTTCCAAGGAAGAGTGGTTCAGAAACATCAAGTATGCCTTGAATCATCCTGAGCAGATGCGAGCGGCTAATGAAATCGCGCAAGGCGACAAGACCTCAACCGACACAAACTATGGATCACCAGGAATACGAAAAAGCCTGCGAGACTTTGAAGAAGGTCGACAGCCGCATTCCCCCGGATGTCATCAAAAAAGCGATCCAGCTGTTCTTCAGCACACACCTCCTTCCTGCCTACGATCTAACACAAGCACAGATCCTCGAACTTCCTTCCACAAACATGATTGCACTCATCCTCCCTGTACCTGACGCCAGTCACTTTCAGATGCCACCTCCATTTCGCAAGCGTCAAAACCACACATGGGCGCTACTTCATGGCACGACACTCCGTACATCTCAGCTCATCCTCCTTGAGGGAAAGATCAGACCAGCAAACTGGTCTTACCACAAGAACCTTCAACGGTGTGACATGCCAACCTTCGGAGCCTTCTACCTGGGCAGAGAAGTATCCAACAGTGACAAGACCATCCCAGACTGGGCGGCAAGAGAGCTTCTCGACACCATCCAGAAGAAAGGGAAAGGACAACAAGACATTGTCATTGGGGCGATGTATCGAGGTGCAAATGCCCACACCGCATACAAAGCTGGTGGCAACGAAATGGCGCAGCTTGGTGTAGCCGACAAGGGAATCGTCACCACGTCTGAGAAGCACACGATTGCCCACAGCAACCACGTGGGATTGAAGTTCGTTGCCCTGAAGTGGCAAAATGTGACCGACAAGATCGATGTTGGCGACTCGAGCTCAGATGAAGTAAACTATCGCCCTACTGAGGAACGATACTCAGGTCGCCGTTGACAGCAGGACCTCATCACCGACCAGCTGTCGGCATGTATGATTAGCTCTTTTCGGCATTACCCGGAAGGGAAACCTGGACATTTTGACCAAAAAGTACGGTTGCCTCAATCTGACTTGAGCATGTTTTAAACCTATGGTCCGTGTCGTATCATGTTTCATCACTGCACCCTCAAACATTGACATACTGCGATTGCACTTGAATCCACGTGATTTCCTTTTTCTTTTGACTTTTTCATTGCTGATGTCCATGGTTTGTTTCGTTTCATGTCAATGTTGGATACTTGTGTATACCTCCTGCAGTTTTGATACCTTTCTCATAGCTCCTAGAGATCTTGAGTGACATTTCTCAATGGCAGATTCGGATAGATCCAGATCTCCAGTGCCGGGCCGAAACCGCTCTGAGCCTCGTGGACCAGCGCAGCCAGTACGACAAGAACTACCATTCTTTCCTCGCTGGTGTGGACCTATGCAAGCGGCTGTCTCGCACTCACAGTAAATGTCACGCCCTCAGTTTCGACCTCAGTTTACCATGCAGCAGTCGGGAGCCTACATGCCGAACAGATCAATGCATCAAAATCCACCCGTCCTTCAGGGCACATGGCCCAGTCAACGGTTCCCACCGACACCTCCGCCATCACCTCCACCAACTCTTCCATATCCAGTTCCTCCTCGCCAAGCCACTCCACCTTGCTCACCCACACTACCCTGTCCACAAACACAACCAGTATCACCAAGCACTCCATCCGTCCCATCATCTCAACCTCGTCCATTCGACACTCCACAAACGACCTCACCAGGAGGCAAGGCAACACTGGATGCCACCCGTACCTATGGCTTTGATCTCAATCCTCACTGGGAAGAGGACAAAGACCACTATGACAACCAGAAGATCAACGGCTTGACTTTCCCACGCAACATTCGCCAATCAGCTTTCACACAGAAGCTGGACATCGAAGGGTGTGATCCTTTGCAGCTACCTGTGGCAGCCTTGCTGGATCAGCAGGCCAACAACTTTTGGCTTCGCAAGCTGGCTCACGGTCGTGAACTCTACCTGATCCCTACTGGAGACATCGCAGCAGTTGTTTTCATGACAGAGCTCTTGACGCAGCTCAGAAACAAGGGGGTCGACCTGGACAAGGTCTCTCACAGCCGGGCTCGGCAAGACGGAAAACTCTTGGACAAGACCAACAACACCAAGTATGCAGCGCAACAGATAGCTGATCTGATCCACAGCTGGGTTCCGACCCGCACAGCAGATCCTGAGACTCAACATGAGCTCACCCAACTCCGAAGCCAACTGGCGCAACTACGTCAAAGAATTGGAGAAGACACGGGCGAAACCTCCACACCAGCCACTACGGGCCCTTCTGCTTCCAGCCCTGCTCCAACACCCATCCAACAAGCTCTCCTGAGGA